TTTTTTTGGTCAGCCCTGGGCCAAAACGACGTCGTTTTGGCCAGGTCATTTAAAAACATTCCCTGGGCCAAAACGACGTCGTTTTGCCCAGGTTGTTTTAAAAAAAAACGACGCGCACCAGAGCAGCCTCGCCTCCTTCTTCTTCAGCTGTTCTTCCTTCTTGTTTCAGGCATTCCGTCGAGCACTTCCTGTGCAGCTCCAAGAGGTCGCGCCAGCAGCTCCAAGGGACCTCCAAGGCTATTTCCATGGCTTCCAAGAGGTCGTCCGACCCCGACGACCACACTGTGGCTCCGCCTCTGGTTGGTGGCATATTTTAGGTGGTGCTCCGGCGCGTTGCTCAGAAGCGACGGTCGTATGATATATGGGGTGAATGAGATGACAACAGAGATGGTGCTCCGGCGCCTTGAAAATCAAGGGTCGTATGATATATTGATGAATGAATTTTCCTTACAATCTACCACTACTCCTAGGAAAGCAAATAAAGGTATTGAAAGTGCATTACAGGAAAATATAATTTGCTCATTGGGAGGCTTTTGGTTTGGTGTTTGAACCCTTTGAATGTAGTCTTGAGCTTAGTATTTGTAGGGGGAGTCCTGGATGGACAATCGAGGCTGAAAAGATCTGCGTGGTGGAGCCTGATCGGGGCAAGTGGGTAGTCAAATCGGCATTTGGGATCGTGAAACATGGTGGTGTGACCCCCATGGATCCGAGTAAATCTCGGTCACCGCCCTGATTGTGGGTTCTGTCCCCTTGGCCGTGAGAACGCATTTAATGCCCTGGTCTGGTGGTTGGTGATCTGACCTTAAGTTGTAAGCATACTTGTGAGAATGTTTGTGCCTAACCACTCTGATTTCCATTACCAAATCCTGACTTCAGTCACTTCCCCTCTCCCCTTGTGCATTAAATGCTTCTTGCGACTAGTGGGTTTGCTGCGATAGTCAGAGGCATTACTTCATTAAATGGGGCATGGGACCCTGAGGCCACTTGGCGATTTGACCACAATATCTTCAGTCATGTCTTTTACGGACTTCGGCTTCGGCCTATAATACCGTGGTCGCGAGGCCGAGAGGATTCTGCCTTTGCAACTTTTCTTTTGTTTTCAGGAAGGCGAAATGCCTAACGAAACGTGGTCGTTTCAGTTCATGAGTAGGTGCTAGGGCCAAGAGGAGGTCCCTTCGGTCAGTTTATGACCGTGATTTATTAGGCACAAACATCGCCCCCACATCCCTGGATTCTTCGGTCACGGCCTGGGCAGAGGTCGAATGGATTCCAAGGAATGGACCCTTTGCATTCCTTTTGAAGTGATTGACAGCTGGCGCCTTAAATGCCTACACATTTAATGCGCAAGCACGTCTTGCAGGCCATCATTGCACAGACTTGCGCGAGTCGTCGTTTCGTCTTGTCAAATGAAGCAACGGTCTCTGGGTTTCCGACACGTCATCGCGCTCCTTGAGCATGCTGTCAGACCGTTACGTCTCTCGAGAGGATTATGCCCTTTCGTTTTAAACTCTACGCCTTCAGAATTTTCAGACACCCAAACTCTGCCAAACTCTTCTCTCAATTCTTCAACCCTTTCGAACTTCACATTTCAGCACTCCACCTCTTTCTGCCCAGTTATCCCTTTGTTAATAACCAACGACTTCAGTTGCTTCCTCTGCATTTCTCAGAAAACTTACGAACTCTTCGCCCCTTTTTCTGAGTGCTCGGTTCCCTTTGTAGCTTCGTGTTCATCACTCTTTCTTCGACTTTTTCCTTTAACACTCCCTACTTCAATCTATTTCAATAGCCTCCAGCACCTCTACATCTGTTGAAGCGCGGTCCCAAGTCTTCCAGACTGAGTTTGAAGACATTTGCCGAGAAATCCAGGGCTCGGTCCTACCCAACATCGTCACGCCCTGGACTGATGATGACGGCGCTGCCACCGATTCTTGCATCCTCGGCCCCTCTGTAGATCGCGAGATGCCAAAGAGGCTGGTGGCTCATTTGAAGAACAATCTGGTGGACCTCTCGGCCTTTGACGGTGAGGACTTCCAAGATTAGAATGTTGCCAGGCCGTAGCCCCAATGGCCAATCTCGACCCCGGACTGGGAAAAATGGCTGCCGAGGATGGAGCACTTCTTCGGCCAGCAATGGAAGGATCAAGGCATCTACCACTTGATGAAGTTGTTCGATCGGCCACTCGTCATGGACCGGTCGCTTTGGGCCGCGACCATATGCTTCTGGTCGTCGGCCACAAATATTATGAACCTTCGGTTTGGCATGATGAGACCGACCGTTCTAGACATGGCCGCCCTATTCGGCCTCTCCCCTCTTGGCGTGGAAGTAAACGCCGCTCTGGTCGCCCCTGAGGCTGAAGGAAGCTTTAAGGCCGTCTGGCCTACGTTCGCCAAGCTTGCTGGGAGTAAGGCGAAGAACATGCTCAACTACTCCAACTTCTACAGCAACTTCGGCGTGGAGGACAGCGCCGATGATGACTCCATCGTTCCCTTGGGCGAGGTTGAGCATGCCACGTTCTTGCTGTACTACCTATGCAAGTTCGTGTTTTGCACCTAGGAGAACAAAGTCACCTTGGAGTTCGCCCATCTGGCCGACTATCTCGCGCATGACGGAAGGCTGGCACTCGGCCCATTCCTCTTTGGTCATATCTACCGTACGCTTCACGACGTCGTCACGGATGGGATGAAGCCGAAGCACGGTGGTCCACTATGGGCCTTCTAGTTCTGGCTGCAAGCTTACTTCTCAAAGCTGAGGGGGGCAGTCAATATTGCCGACACCAAGCCGTTGGCTAACGCATTCGCCCGGGCCCCCAGGAAGCACAATACCTCGACTTTTTGCTACAAATTTTTCTACGGCTTGATCGAAAGGACCGGGACGTAGTTTCAAGTGTGCCTTGCTCGGCCGTATCCTTTGTTCCTGGCGCACGACCTCTCTGTGGTTCGCCATCAGGGCTTATTTCTGGTCGCGCGCGACCTTTACTGCGGCCTGTCCAAGGCTGGGGCCGAGGTTTATCTGTCGAACTTCGTGGCGCGGCAATTTGGCCTAATCCAGACGGCACTGCTTCCCCCATTGTCAACCAACCGGCTCTCGTCTTGGAGGGCCGACGTCGCCTAGTAGCACGGCGTGGTTGGCATTTCCTTCCAATTTCAAAAGGGAATGACCTTCCTCACTTTGACGCCTTGGTTGCATCGTAATGCGTATGACGAGGATGGAAGAGTCTGGTACGAGGAGTGCATCTCAACCAGATTCATTCGGCCTGTTGAAGAGGCCGTGAGGGGGGCCTTGAAGAATGCAGATTGGGACCCCCTCCTTCCCAAGGCTGGCAAGAGGAAGAAGGTCTCGACCGTGCTTTCTCGACCAAGTACGCCGGCCGCGGCCGTACCCAGGGTGGCGGCCCCTCCTTTGGCCAGAGCAGCGATCGTGACTTCAATCGCGGCCCCAACCTCCAGAGCGCCGGCTGTGGTAGGGGCGCGAAAAACCTTGGCACATAGGACCGTGCCATCCGTCCCGCCGGCTCGACCGATCGTTACCATTGGTAAGCCTTCTTTCTTTTATGTTTTTTCATCGGCCTCTCTAAGCCACCTTTGTCCTTGTTTATTTTAATTCTTACCTTTTTGCTTCTCTATCTGTACACGTAGCCCCGGGTCGTAAGAGGGGTCGAGAGGCCTCAAGTATTGAGGTCGCGCCGGTCGAAAGTGTTGCGGTTGAGACGGCAGTGTCAGAGCGGCCAAGAAAAAGGGTCCTCCTTGTTCTTTCGGAGGGCGAGGACTAAGAGGAAGTCCCTCCTGTGATCGTGAGTGAAGCCCCTCTCGTGACCGTAAGTACTTTTCCTTGATTCCTTTTTACCCTCCCATTTTTTCCTAGGCCACGCCCTCCCCCTCTTTATTTATTCTGATAATCTGGTCCTTTCCTCAGGGCAAGGCAGTGGCCGAGGAGGAAGCCGCTGCCGAGGTGGCGGTTGAGGGGGCGGCAACTGCCGAGGCGGCAGAAATGCTGGATTTCGAGGCAGCAGTCGCAGAGGTGCCAGCCACTGAGGAGGCTGCCGCGGACATGCCAGACGACGAGGTCCTTGCCATGGAACCGTCGCGGGCCGCCCTGGTGGAAGTCCATTCGGCTGCCTCTGCCGTGCCTATCTTGGCCGTTACCGCGTCTGTCGAGCCGTTACCATCCGCTCCTCGTCGTTCAAGCGGCATTGTGATCCGCTTGGTAAGCGTTTGCTTCCACTATACTTTGTTTTATTTTTAGAATTGCTCCACATGCTTTTGACCGAATTTTTTTTGCTTCTAGCCTCCCCGGTCGTCGCTGTCGCTATCCACGGTTGCTGTGAGCATGCCCCCAGCGCCGTTGTCCCAGGACTCGACGGTAGTAACTGAGCTTGCGGTGGTTGAGGCGATAGCTACTGACGCGCCAAGTCCGCCGCCTATCTCTTCGACGGTCCTGACCGAGCTTGTGGGTGCAGAAGTTCTCAGCGCGCCATCGGCCGCTGAAGTGAGTATTTAGATTTTCACCTTGTCATTCCTCATGTCCCAGCTGGTTGTTTTCCATCTAAATCTCATTTTCCATTTTCAGGAGACCGCCTCCTCCAATGATCTCGAAGAGTTATACGCCAGCCTCCATGAAGAAGGAGGCAGCTCGGCCTCGGCTCCCTTGGACTAGGATTCCAGGGCCGTCGCTGAAAGGCTCCGAGAGTTCCTATTTTTTGGGGTTCACCAAATGACCATCGCCAAGGCATTCATGGAGTTTAGGTCCTGCCTGGATATGGCCACGGCGTTAGGTCTGCTGGACTCGGCTCAGCTGGATGAGCTACAGGCTCGCTTGGCCGAGGGCGAGGAGATGATCGGTCGATACGCTGAGGCGAACATGAGGATGACCGAGGGGTGCTCGCTCGAGCAAGAGCTATTAGTGATAAAAGAACAAGTCCAACCTACCATGGCCCGTTTGAAGGAAAATGACCTCGTTGTCCAAAGAGAAAATGAGGAACTTACGCAGGTTGAGGTTCAGATTGCCGAGCTTCAGGCCCGTCGAGATCTCATCCTTCGATGCCGAGATGGTGTGGTCGCGGTCGAAACCGAGCTGAATTCTTCGGCCAGGCAAATCCTCAAGGCGGCGACTGAGAAAAAGAGGGCATTGACCGAGAGGAAGCTGACCCGGGCGAGGTGGCAGGCTGATATAGATGGTGGGGACATTGCCTGGAGAAGGATAACATGCCTAATCTGGGGGATGTTCAGCGAGGGGGTTTAGATGGGCAGCCGTTTAAAGATCTTGGGATGTAATAATTAAACATTTTCTTCTTTTTCCACATAGACACATACAAATATACGCATATATTTTCTTTTTCTTTTTTTGATCTGATCAGCCATGACTGGCCGTTCTTTTTTACTTTTGTAAAAAAAAAAAAATCTCTTAATCTATATACAAAGCGTGGGCCTTCTTCTATGAATGATTGAATGTATGTTGTTCGATTTATATTGGCCGTACCCTTTGTTTAGCTCGCTCGCCTACTTCCCCTTCCTTTTATTTTTGACTTTTTTGTCGTAGGCCCTCGGTGCCATTTTTTCTTGAACACGCACCGAATTGTAAGCGTCGAGCCCTGACTGTTCTAAATTTTCTAAACTTCGGGGCACGGTTTGCGCGTAGTTCTTCGTCTTTCACCTAAGTCGCTTGAAAACTCGAAGAAATCGAACCTCTAGCTCCATTAGTTTATCAATGTCATCCCGTAGGTCAAGACAAAAGGAGATGTGCCCATGGCCGAGTGTTTTGATGTGCGGCGTGCCTAAAAACCCTTAGGGAGCAAGTCGCGCCAAGTCCTAGGCTTCCCGGGTGGGTACGGCCCCGTATAACTTGGTGCCCCCGGCTGCCTCTGGGCTAAGTCGTCCTTGGTCGTGCACCGGACATCTTCGGTCCGAGGATCTTGAGGGGGCGACTCCGGCTGGGTTGGAAGTGGCCACTGGACCTGACAGGACCCGTCCAGAAATTCCTCGGAACCTGGGACGGACCCCGCCTAATTACCGACATCAGCCCGATGCCGGGCCCATTTCCTAGAGACTGAGACTTTCTACCAAAAATTTGGCAAAGTCTCCCCTGTAAATGGAACATTTCCCAATTCAACCTGCTCAAAATTTACAGTTAAAAACAACCAACTGGCAGCATGCTTTATAGGTAGTACAAAAATTTACAAACAAGGCCTCCAGGCCTAACAAAATTTAACCCCTCAGTGGGCGATACAGAGCATATCTACAGAATTCAAAATACAACCGAAACATCGTCAACGGAAAGGGAAAGGTACCAAGAGTCTCTATGAAGACTCGAATTCCAAAATGCACCAGGTCCGGCTCAACTGCAAAGCTCAGTCGCTACTGGCTGGGGGCGCAAAACAGAAAGTTGTGAGTGGACAAAAATCAAGTTTCATTCAAGTGAAAATAAAATAGTATAACCCCCACTTTTTATATGCAAGGAAACCATAAGCATAACAAAACAACATAAACAGTACATGCATACATATTAACACACTTATACCGGATCTCAAATCCGTAATCCGTGAATAATACTTCACGAAGCCCACCACTCGACTTAAAAGTTCCGAGAGGTTAGATCCTCATAAACATTCTCAAAGGTACGACCGGCGAGGAAGTATCCTTACTGAGAAAGAGAACCAAAGAACATGCATACATACATGTAATTATATACATACTACATATATAAGGTAACAGAATAATAATAATAATACTATTAATACTAAGAGTACATGAGTGTAACCAATATTTATTTGTACCGGGGAAACAATCCAACCGGGGGACTATTTGACTAGTCCACATGGCAGAGCCATTCCTCAATTCACCATGTGTCTAGGGAACGAGCCGTCCAACTGGGGAACGAACTCTCAGCCAGCACGTACAGCCGACACAGTCAAAGCTTGTACGCCTGAAATACCAGTCCTACGCGCGTAGACTACCCCAAATCCAGGGTCCACAGCAACATCCCCTCAAGGATGCTCTGAGTTCTCATAATTTCAAACATACTCAGTATCCGTAACCAAACTCAGATCAGGGGAGGTACATGAATTAGTGCTTAACGCACTCCAACCAGCAAATCAAATATTACCTTACCATAGCTCATGCCCACCATCACGTACCCCATGCATAGACACATGCAAAAATGTTTCCTCGGAATTCAAATATTACGATAAGTTTTATAAAAACTTTAAACGTTCAGTCAAGCATATATAAATTTCTTGATAACCAAAATAAAACTATATGCCATAATTTCATAAATGAAATCATACTGAGTTTCAAAAGAAAAGTCCACTCACAAGTAATCCCACACAGCTTGACCCTTAGAGGGTCCCGCCTGCTGCGTATGTTGGGTCGGAGTACCTGATTCAGAATAGAAAAAACATATACGATGAATGTCAAGCGCTTCAAAACAGAACTTGAAAATAAAACCCTAGCTTCCCGGGAGTTCCTATAGGTTTTACGAGGTCCAGGATACACGCCTTATACAATTGGTCCGAAACGGACGATTAGATCGCTCACGATCACACAAATGGACGGTTACTGAAACCCTCACCCTAGGTTAGCCTTTCCGGAGTATCCGGGACTCCGTTTTACAATCCGTCGAATCCTACACGATCCTAAGGGTATCCAGAGGAACATATTTCAGTTTGAAAACGATCCAACGGTCGGGACATATCGAACCCGAATAACGCCCAATATGCGATAA